CTATTAATCGCATACTGCGAGTGCAGAGAAAGAAGTGGTATGTTTTATCTAAAATTAGACAAATGAAAACGATGAGATAAGAGTGTCTAAAAATAGATACAGGAAATGAGGAGATAAGAGCGTCATTAAACGTGGTGCATTTTTTTAGAATATAGTTTATTTTGTAAAGCATACATGAAAAATTTACATTAGCATATGGAATCGTCTAAATTGAGTTGAGAAAAACATAATCATGTGTATCGTTATATAATCTTACGAACGACATTTGTCAATGGATTGTACTCTATTACAATAGGCCGTGGTGCCTGATGGAATATTGTCCCTACATTCGAATTCGATACGAATGTCCACGGTAGCGCTTTTCACAGATTCGTTTTGACGAGAGCAATCGATCACCACGAGCGGCGCGGCTGAAACAAATTGCGCGACGGACAACAAAGCTTCGTATGTTTCGTAGCCGTAGTACGATTTCGCAAATTTTGAATACATGTCGTATAGTATTGCGATTTTATTACATCCGAAATCCAAATTCATATCATCGTACGGGAAAAAATCAGAGTTAAAAAATAGTTTTACGTTTACTAGAGCACACGCGTCGAAATGAGTGGTATCCTTAGAGAGTACGTTTCGCTTTCCAGTTTGAAGCGAAAAGATCACGTAACGCGGTTTTTCCAAATGCGACGTTGTCTTCACAGCCCACGAATGTTTGGTCGTGCTCTGAAGTAGAGGAAACTCGTACAAATCCCAAGATCGAAATCCCATGCTGAGATACCGTCCGTTTTCCAACGTTCGCAGAAGTGACAATTTGTTGACGTCGTTCAGTACCACGTGTGGCATCTTCCATTGCACTTTCGATAACGTGAGTGTATAGTCGTCTGCGTTGCTCGCGATAACGCAATTGTTGTCGTTACGTGCACGTATCAGGACTAGTTCATGTCGGGCGTTTATCACTATACGTTTGTAATCCTCGCAAAATCCTAGAAGTATGTTAAGCGGTACGTTAAAGTTAAAATCTTCAGTTATCGATCGACTTGTTAATAATGCGTCTAGACCTAATGTAAGCTGCCATCCGGCATTCTCCAACGTTCTGCTTCTGTCAACTGTCAACGAAACGTAATTTTTAACTGTGCTCGTAATACCAACGTTTCTGTTTCTGTCAATTTCCACTCCGTCTAATTCGTAGCAAATCTCGTCGAACATGAATGCGACGCAATTATTCGACAGTCTCGGTGGTACGTTGGTACTTCCTTCCTTCCTTCGCACAATGAATTTTCCCTCGATTTAGAGCAAACTTTCGCACGGTAACGTGCAGAGATCCTGATGTTGAATCGGTATTCGTATTTCATCGCTGTATCCGAATGTAGTGTTAGCGTACTGATTGTACGTGTGAGTCTCTATTTTAACGATGCGATCGTCGAAGATCGGAGCACCTCCGATCTTCAGAATATCACGATTCATTTCTCACGACGATTCCGAGAGATCGTAGAAAGGCAACGTTCGTGGCGTTCAATCGACCTCCTTTTTTTCGTCTTTTCGTTCGATCGTATCGATTTTTGAACGGTTGCCACAATGTCGACGTTTGCGATGCGTTCACTCGGTCGTACGAATCATTCAAGACGAGCATCTTCCGCCTTCGAACATAGTATCCCCCTAACGTCTACGTCGTATGTGAAGTCGAATCGATATCTCTTCGCCGCGAAAGTCGATCAACTGTCCGTTCTGATCCACTACACGTATCGTTATATCGGTAATGTTTCGTGCGATGACCGGGAGATAAATGACGTGCGTTGGAGTAACGGATAGTTTATATCCTGGAGGAACGTTCACCGCGAATTCGTGTATCGTATGTGCCGGTCTGTCGTTGTTGTACGCACCCGAGGTAATTACACTCAACGCGAATTATATTCACGTTCATAATTTTTACCAGTTCGTCCGACGCATACCACTTGTTCGGTCGTAACACGCGAGACGTCGAAAAGCCCAACAATGAACCGATACTGTTCGATTTGGAAAAATCCACTAGATATTCACACTTGATCTCACTTCTCATGGTGTTTTCGTTCGCGCGAAAAATCAATACAGATTTCGCCTGTTCCATAGTTTTTTCGTCCTCGTATATTAGATCTATCTCGTCGAATTCTTCGAGTTCGTCGTTGTTAATAGTACTTGGTAATGTATTGTGAACTATAGCGGTCCTCAGATACTTTTCGATATCGTTCAATTCGTACGACCCTACGGGAATCGTGATCGTAATGTTGTCTGTGTCGAAGTGGAATTTATTATTCGAGGAGGTGACGTTCGGTATCGTGTTGTACGTTTCGAAATTCGTAAGACCCAATTCGTATTCGCTATCGCTCAAGTCCAAAGCGGGGAAATAATTCGCCGCGAGGACACTGTTTCTTCCCGTTAGTGTGAGAGTCAACGACATGATCGTAGCACGAAAGTTACCGCAGGACTGTTCCGTTCGCTGTGCAATATATCACGCTAGGAGCTTCTTCCTCTTCCAATCGATCTCCCAGAGAAATCGCAGACACAACTGACCGCAAATGCTTTGATCGTACGACTGATATGATCGTCTGTTGTACGTATACGTGTTGTATGTTACCTCCGAGATATCGTTCAAGTTCCCTCGGTGGTCTGAGATTACCGAAACTGTCGAAGTAGGCAGCCTCATCTCCCCTCTTCGCGTAAGCGACCCAGTGTGTACCGGGGGCTGTCGAATCGTCGAGGTTCACGATACCGCACTCGTTACGACGTGATTTCGTGGGTATCGCATCGCGCATGAATACACCTCTGAAGAACGGTAATTTTAAAAAATACGCCGAACGACTCAATTGCTCGTTCGTTGTGGTGCCAGAGATCGGTAATCTAAGAGTTTCTACCGTTTTCTTCCATGTTTTTTTTTTACCTTCTTCGACCTCTTCCTCACACGACCACCGCGTTTGTATGGTGCAATGTGCAGACCGCGACCCTCCATCGCGCGATTGTGATGTTGCAATTCTTCGAGTTGTCGTCGAGCGGCTTTACGATTGCCCACCGCTTTCGCCACGCTAGCTGCTCCTCCGATCAAAGACCCGAGCGCTCCCAACACTGGTAAAATCGGTAGGAAACCACCGCGTTTCGCTACAGATAAAATCCTCTTCCTCTTCGACTTTTTCCTCCTCTTCACACCCATGCCCAATTTTGTCTTCGCCTTCATGGCTGCCCACACGGCTGTCGCGGCGGCTTTCTCACCGAACGTCGAATCGCTTGCTGTAATACGCTGTCGTGCTCTCTCGGCGAGTGCTCGATCAGCAATGTGTCGACTGGCTATTTTGTCTTTGCTTTGCGAATACGCGATATCGTGTTCGCGACAAGCTGCGTCTAATTGATTGATGCCTCGATCGCCGCGAGCTAATCGTTTCGCGAGGTGCGTACCAGGTCCGC